CTACGCGTTGGTGATATTCAAAGATGCGGAATCGGTGTTATTTACAGTGGAGTGTATGGACGGGGTGAAGATGTTCGGGAAAACACTGCAGATAAAACCAAAAAATGGTAGTGAGCAGGTCGGGTTTTATTATTTTTTATTATTATTTATTATTGTTATTTATTATTATTTTTATTATTTATTATTGTTGATTATTGTTATTTTTATTATTATTGTTGTTGTTGTTATCATGATTATTGTGGCTGTATATTTACTGACGTCTTCAAGTGATATCTAGTGTTGATGTGAAAATTTCCGTATGGGTGAGGACATTTCGCCAAAAAGTAATTGGCAGGGCGCCAAGACGGTTGCGCGAGCGACGGGCGTGATTTGAGCGGCAGTGCTCAGATTTGGCGAAATGTCCTCATACCCTCATGTGGCAACAAAGGTCGGTGACAAGTTAGGAGAAAAACTCCACCCAGAGTTTGGGTTGATTGATGGCTGGGGTTGTTCCCGGAGTTTTGCCCGTGGCTTTGGGTTAAGGTTTGGGTGGGTAATCCGTTTACCCGTAGAATCTGTGCTCGATGCTTTGGGTAAACTTCTGCCTGACTGTTTGTGTTGTGGGAGCAGTCAAGTCAAGTGAACGTGAAAGCGAAACAAGACGCGTGCGTTATTGTAGGAACGTCGATGGAAACGTATGCTTGCCGATAACCAGGAGCGGCTGATTCGCCAAAACTCGTTTGGCGGAATGGCCCTCTCACCTTCGACGAACTATCAGACACCGCCTCCGTCCGGGTCGTCATACGGCGGCCGCTCTATTTCGTCGTCTTCGTCGTCTGTTGCCTCTCCGACTGCGTTATCTCTAGCGTCGTCTCTGGCATCTCTGTCGGGCGATCCACACATGCTGATGCAACTTCAAGGCCAAGGGCAGTTCCTGCCTCCGGGCCTGGCTCATCACGGCTCTGATCCTCTCCCGCGTCCGTCCANCGTCCACGCAGCCGCTGAACGCGTCCGGTCGCTCGTATTCCCAACGGGAACATTGCCAAGATTGGCGATTCGGTACCGCCAGGGGATCAGCGCATACCCCGACTTACGCGGGCGGTGAGTCGCCGGCAGAACACAGGGATCGCGATCGGAGTCGTGAAGACAGAGGATCGACAGGCGGATATGGCGGTGGGTGGGGCTTGGCGAGTACGCCGCGCGCACCGCCTACGCACACGCATCGCGGACAAGCAGCGCACAGAGACGCGAGTGGTTATCGAGGCCAGAGGGAACATTATGGTGGTAGGTGTTTGTTTGTTTTAGAGTTGTTTTTTTGTAAATTTGATTTTTGTGATGGGCGGAGTTTATTTGACCTGTTTTCATTTTTGCATTTTTTTCCGCTAGGAAGTGATTTCAGGTTGTGGGTTACAATGAGGGGGGGGGGTGTTTTTTCCGAATTTTTTCGTTCATGTTATCAATGATTAGGTTCAGGCGCGAGCGCGTCGCACGGGCGGTACGATGAGAGAGGGGCGGAGCTTATGGGCAGAAGTGCGTCCGGCAGGAGGGAGCAGCGGTTTGTATTGTATTATTTATTATTGTTGTTATTTATCATTATTTATTTTTATTATTTATTTTTATTATTTATTATTATTATTTATTATTTATTATTATTTATTATTATTATTTATTATTATTGATATTTATTATTATTAATATTAAGTATTGCAGCGCAGAAACACTTCGTCGAGAAGACTCTC